GTTAAATGAGTTAAAACCTGTAAAGCCCTTGGCACACGTGAAATGCTCAATAAATATTAGCTCCGGGCACAGACTGCCTTGTTCACTCCCGTGGCCCCATCACCCACAGACCCCGGACCCCGTGGGCATCCGCTCTGACTCCCTGAGTCAGGGTGACTGTCACCTTTTAATCATTGCAAACCACCTTGTCCTCTGCTTCCTGCCTTTGCAATCAACGATCTTTAGAAGCAAAGATGATCTGAGGGAAGAAACCAGATATGTTCAGAGTATCTGTCCTGTCTAAAAAACAGTTTAAGAAGAGGCAGGTGTCAGAATTGGATTCTAAGTCTCACCTACATCTCACTGTGCAGTTCACGTTGGATGCACAACAATTTGCTGAACTGGGACAAGAATCAAAAGATGTTTGAAGGTGGCGGTGGCCGTGGCCAGATGAGTGCTCCTGTTTCCCCATCCCTCTGCCGCGTCCCCGTGAAAACGTCAGGGGAAGGGGGGATGGGAAGTCAGGTGGTCTCTTGCACCCTCCTCCGGCCGTTCCACCAACCGGGCCACTTCTCTGTGCCGGGCACGGGGAGCGTGGGAAAAGGAAAACACTCCTGCCCTCTCGGCGTTGGCCTCCTAAAGGGGGGAGACAGTTGGAAACAGTAACTGTCCCGTGTTCCCGGCACCCCTAGAACAGAGCGTTGGCCTCCTAAAGGGGGGAGACAGTTGGAAACAGTAACTGTCCCGTGTTCCCGGCACCCCTAGAACAGAGCGTTGGCCTCCTAAAGGGGGGAGACAGTTGGAAACAGTAACTGTCCCGTGTTCCCGGCACCCCTAGAACAGAGCGTTGGCCTCCTAAAGGGGGGAGACAGTTGGAAACAGTAACTGTCCCGTGTTCCCGGCACCCCTAGAACAGAGCGTTGGCCTCCTAAAGGGGGGAGACAGTTGGAAACAGTAACTGTCCCGTGTTCCCGGCACCCCTAGAACAGAGCGTTGGCCTCCTAAAGGGGGGAGACAGTTGGAAACAGTAACTGTCCCGTGTTCCCGGCACCCCTAGAACAGAGCGTTGGCCTCCTAAAGGGGGGAGACAGTTGGAAACAGTAACTGTCCCGTGTTCCCGGCACCCCTAGAACAGAGCGTTGGCCTCCTAAAGGGGGGAGACAGTTGGAAACAGTAACTGTCCCGTGTTCCCGGCACCCCTAGAACAGAGCGTTGGCCTCCTAAAGGGGGGAGACAGTTGGAAACAGTAACTGTCCCGTGTTCCCGGCACCCCTAGAACAGAGCGTTGGCCTCCTAAAGGGGGGAGACAGTTGGAAACAGTAACTGTCCCGTGTTCCCGGCACCCCTAGAACAGAGCGTTGGCCTCCTAAAGGGGGGAGACAGTTGGAAACAGTAACTGTCCCGTGTTCCCGGCACCCCTAGAACAGAGCGTTGGCCTCCTAAAGGGGGGAGACAGTTGGAAACAGTAACTGTCCCGTGTTCCCGGCACCCCTAGAACAGAGCGTTGGCCTCCTAAAGGGGGGAGACAGTTGGAAACAGTAACTGTCCCGTGTTCCCGGCACCCCTAGAACAGAGCGTTGGCCTCCTAAAGGGGGGAGACAGTTGGAAACAGTAACTGTCCCGTGTTCCCGGCACCCCTAGAACAGAGCGTTGGCCTCCTAAAGGGGGGAGACAGTTGGAAACAGTAACTGTCCCGTGTTCCCGGCACCCCTAGAACAGAGCCTCTGAGGGCCGGCTGCTGGTGGCCATGTCCGGGCGGTGTACCGTGGGCCCACCTCCCTGGCACTCGCCTGGCCGACGGGGGGATTATTTTGTGGGAGACCTAGCCCTGTGTCCTCCAGGGTGTTACCTCGACCTGGTCGGCTGGCTCCACCTGCAGGGCTGCCAGGGCGGCCACTGCTTCCGGCTGTGAGGCGGGACGGCATCATCCACCACCATTACACAAGGCGCTTCGCTCGCTCGGCCATCGCTCAGGCACGACAGCTGCGGGCCGGCTCTGCCCAGGGACAGGCAGTGACTGTCTGGTAATGGCTGCTGACAACGTGCTTGTGGTGGGGAGTGTCCCCATTTGGAGGCTATTCTGCCCCCAACAAGCCCCGCCCTGCTCCCGGTTAGGAAACACCCCCCACCCCCAGCCTCTCCGCCTCAGGTGAGTCAGGTGCCCACTGCAGGTGTTCCTGGAATTTGCGCCAACCCGGCTGGTGTCACAGCATCGCCACATCACTTTTCCCAATTGCTATTCTTTCATGACACATACGACATGTTTATTGTTGGAAAATGTTAAATGTAGGCAACATCCATCACCCCACCACCCGGAAACAGCAGGTGTTCACAGGTGGGTGTGACTCCTAGAAAATGTCCTAAACCTGTAAACACACATCACTTTCCCAAAATGAGCGAATATTGTGCAGTCGACTGCGTCAGCAAATGGTGGAGCCAGCGGGCTAACTGCTCTCCTCCTTTAGCCGCAACCACTTCAGACGGACCAGAGATTTACATGCAGTCGGGGTTTGAGGCAAGTCCCCAAGCCCAGGGGCCCTAAAGGGAGAGGCTAATGACTGTGACGACTCAAAGGCTTAAGACTTGTCACAGCGAAGCGCTGGCAGCACTCGGTGCGGGCGGAGCTGCCAGCCTCACGTGCCTGCGTTCTGTTTCCAGGTAATTATTCAGCAGACACGTTCCCGCTGGGGCTCGGGGAAATGAGTGGGGACTTTCCGTCAGTATCGTTTGTAATGGCGGAGCAGCCGGAACCACCCGCCCCACCCCACCGGCACGAGAATACGGTGCAGCCCATTCACTCACACAACGAAATATTAGGCAGCAGTGAGAACAGATGAACTACAATGACTGTGCCAACCCCAGGGACCGCTGGCACTGTGGAGACATCTTTGGTTGTCACAGCTGGGGGTGGGGAGTGGCAGCTAGGGGTAGAGACCAGGGGTGCTGTTACAATACACAGGACACCCCCCCAAAAATTAATTACTGGGCCCAAATGTCACTGGTGCCGAGGTGAGAAACCCCGAGGAGTTTGGGTTCACGTGGGCAGATGTCACCAGGAATTCCGGGTGGAAGAGGAAGTGGCAGGATGAGCGGGTTGATACTTGGCAGCTACAGACACAGGCAGCGCACGTGTGAGGCACGTGTGGAAATAACAGCCACTCCCTCATCGGGAACAGTCCACCCTGGTGTTCCTTTTACCTTTTTTTTTTAATAAAGACAAAAAATAAGTAAAAAGCAGCCTGCTCTTTTTTAAAAAATTTATGTCAGAAAGGAAGGGAGAGAGAGAGAGAGAAACATCAATGATGAGAGAGAACCATTGATCAGCTGCCTCCTGCACACCCCCTACTGGGGATCGAGCCCGCAACCCGGGCATGTGCCCTGACCGGGATTCGAACCCTGACCTCCTGGTTCATAGGTCAATGCTCAACCACTGAGCCACGCCGGCCGGGCTCCTTTACCTTTTTCCTGTGACGCTGGAAACGCCTCCTTATCGGCGATGATACAGTGGTAAGCACATGCCCTTGTCTGTGTTGCGTGGACTAACTTGTGGCCCTGGAATTACCAGGATAAAAGAGATGCTCATTTTCACGGTTTCAATAACTAACGGTTCTGAAACCCTGCTCCCATTTGCCCTCCCACCTGCAGGGGATGGTGTGCTGGTTGCTTTTTGCTCCCCTCCCTCAAGGTATGAGCCTCTTGGGGACAGGGACGGTGACGTTCGTCCACGCATCCTCAATGTCTCAAGTGCTCAGCAGAAGCAGGTTGAGTTGATTAAGGCTTTGCAATACATTGCTAAGTAGGTACAGGGGACGGAGAGATGAGCCACTCAGGCCCTCAAGAAACTTAGTTTAGTTTTGTTTGAAAGGTAACTGGCAATTCGAGTCTAAGGACCCGCTGTGCCCTAAGCCCTGCAGGAGTGGGGGGTTGGGGGGGTGCGGGGGGCACGTGGGTAGGAGTGGCCTGGCAGAGCCAGGTCTGGAGGCCCAAGGGTCCTCCCATCCTTGGCCAAGCAGAGGAGTGGCCTTCTAGGCGGCGGCAGCTCAAGCTCAGGCGTGGTGACGGGTGGGTGAGGCCAGTGTGTGAGGTGGCTAGAATGGAGGTTGTTTGTGCAGAGACTCCGTGGAGGATCTGATGAGCAAGAAAGGCAGGGTCCCGATGGGGCAAGCCCTGTCCACAGGCCGAGGAGTTGAAACTCTGCCCTGCAGGCAGCCAGGGGCTGCGGGGCGGGTGTGACGGGTGTGACGGGTGTCGGGAGGAAAGGCTGCTCTGAGCTGGGCGGCGTCCCAGCGGAGCGCCTGTCACAGCTGTACGGCCCCAAGCTGCACAGCGGCTGCACCCTCCAGGGGCCAAGCCAGATTCCCCCGGGGTGAGGAAGAGGAAGGGAGTGGGAGGCGGGAGGAGCACAGTCCCAGGTCCAGAGGACCCGTGGGCGGCTTGTACCTGAGTAATCCCTTATTCACCCCTGTTGACAGGTGTGCGGAAGCCCCTTCACTGTGGCTCTTGAGAACGGATTTTCTTCTCAACTCCGTGCTCAGTGACTTCAGGTCCGTACCTTGAACTTGGCCATGGAGGGGTTTTTGTGCTTCAGGACTCCCCACCCCCACGGCCAGCCCAGCACACCATCGTCCGTTTCCGTCCGGAAGCAGGGGAGATGCGGAGAAGGGCGGGAAGGGAGATCCTTGTCAGGGAGGCCAAATGGGACGGGAGGAAGATGAGTGTGAGGCGTCCTCCGTAGGAGGTTCCGTGTCCTAAGGGCCACGCCGGCGCTTCACCGGCACTGCCCGTGGGGCCGAGCGCAGTGGTTACAGCACTGACTGCAGACGGACAGCTGGGCTCGCGTCCTGGCTCTGCTGTTTACCAGCTGTGTGACCCTGGGCACGTCACTTGACCTCTCTGTGCCTCGTGTCTGCCATGTGTAAAGTAGAGGACATTATTGACGCATCTCATAGGGTTCTTAGGAGGATTAAATGAGTTCCATGTACATAAAGCGCTTGGGGCGATCTGGGCAGGTAATGCGCACTCTGTCAGCACTTGTTAACTGTGTGAAATAGAAGGGAGGCAGGGCCGTACCTGCGGGCACACAGCAACTTCGGGCAGAGCTGGAGTCGCAGCCCACGCCTCGGCCGTGGCAGGCAGTCCTGCGAGTCTGGTCTGGGTCTCTGTGACCCTGACAAGGGCTGGGGCTCCACAGGATGATCCCTGAGTCCTGGTGCTGACTGTTTACATAGAAGGGGAGGAGCAGGCCGACCCAGCGACCCGTTCCTGCTGTTCGGCAGGCACGAGCTGGGACTGCTCCAGGCATGAAGGTGAGTTTGGGCAACCTATGCACAGTAATAAGAGTAGCTTCCATTTATAAAGCCCCCACTTCGTACCTGCCATTCAGTCAGTCACTAGATGCTGCGTTTGGGTTTCAGCGATGGACATCTATACTAATAAAAGGGTAATATGCTAATTTAGACCGGGAGACCTTCTGGACATCCTTCCGGACAAAGTCATGGTGATGGGGCCAAGGCAGAGGCGGTTAGGGGTGATCAGGCTGGCAGGGGAGGGCAGTTGGGGGCAATGAGGCTGGTGGGAGGGGTAG